AAGCTGTAGGTGCAACCGGAAAATCCTAAATTGAACTCATTGGCATTACAGGTGCAGCCAGACGACAATAGTTAAGCAAGAGGCAAACCTGTAAATGTAAATGCTGTGCATGTACGTGGAGAGCAATGTACAGCCGGAGTCAAATTCCTTGTATGCGTATGCGTACATGGCCAATACAGCTGATTCTGATTCTGATGTTTCTATGACCATATGAAATCTAAAGTAGTTCCACTGTACATTACTGTACCGGGAAAGGCACCTCAAATTATATCGTATACACATTCAAAATGACCTCATCATTGATATTAACTGCATACATTATGGAAATATTCAAATGTATGACTAAATGAAAGATCAGCTTTTGTGTGCTTTGTCAACTTGTCCACGTATAATTCATTGTCAGATATCTTTCCACACAACAAGTCCGACTTTAAGTGGGGTTACATTTTACATTTTCTAGTAGCAGGTCGTACATTTCCGAGTTCCGAATCTTTAGGAAGGCAGCATGAGTACAGCTTCATAAACCTTTAGCACGACTGCAGACTCTTACTAAATATTTCTCTAAGGGGACGACATCTAAAGTTAAAAGAACGCTCCAACGATTTGGCATTACACTCTTTTCTTCCACATTGCCGGACTCACGATGGAAGAGTTCTAAAACTGAATAAAGACTCATGCAGCATAACCAGAGGTCTGGTGTTTATTACTTCACACAATCTTCTTTTTTGTCAATACCGGGCGCCTCCCATTAACCACAATGCACCTGGGCCACCAACTGTCCGGAGCTTGTAGCAGAGATGAGGAGCTCACTTTTTTTCTAACCCCACATCGTCAGAATACAAGATTTTCCTGTTGAAATTCTAGCAGCAGTGATCATTGTAAACACACATATACATATAAATATACACACACATATACATATAAATATACATACATATACATACATATACACATATATATATATATATATATATATATATACACATATACATATATACATATATACACACATATACATATATACATATATACACACATATACATATATACATATATACACATATACACATACATATATATACATATATATACATATATATACATACATATATATATACATACATATACATACAGTATAGAATTTTTTTGTGTTTTTTATATTTGTAAATAATGCACTTACCAATGGTGATCTGACTGACACAGCTGTAGAAGGTTCCAGAAGAGGCATTGTAGCTGCTACTGCTGGGCTCACGGTCTACGACAGGGGGAGAGATCACACATTATGTACAGTGAGACATCATGTAGACTCGTCTATCCAAAGCATATTATAATGCATCAAAGCCTAGTGCTGTTCCTGGAGGCTTGAGGAAAGCCATGACCCTGCAGCAGCGTAACAAGAATGAAATCCCCAATCCTGCAATGTTAGTGCCCCGCTTCCACATCGAGTCACACGAGCCCATAACCCTGGAAGGCTTACAGGGCCCCTTCATTTGAGGGAATGATGCCTCAATCCCTACAAGAGTTGTTTTCTCGATTAATGAATTCATTGTTTGGACTATGTAATGTCACAAAATAGTGAAAATGCCCATCACATTTCCTTGTTGATGTCATGCAATGTGTTGTTTTGTCCGAGCAACAGTCCAAAATCTAAAGAGATTAGGTTACAACGACATAAAAACAGAGAAAACCATTGAAGAAGCTGCAACCCAAGAATTTCGGCAGTTTTGATAAAAAGATGGCTTAAATTATTAAACAATTCGATGACTCATTTCACAAGCAAAAAAAAAATCCAGCCATTGCAATTCCCAACTTTTTCAGTTTATATGCGGGAGTAGAGGTCAAGATGCTTCTGTGATGAACTGCAGCTTCAGTCAACGAGCTACATTTAAACAGACTTGTGTGACATTTTCATTGCCATCAATAACTCAAATGTACAGTACACACACAGTATTCCATTATTTGATTGGTTGGTTCGTTAGACACTTGCTCTCAAAGAGGTTCCATAGGAGCAGGAAACTAAAGGGCTAATTTGGAACTCCAAGCAATCAAGGGAGCTAGAGGTTAAATGATTAATCTGTCTCAGCAGAGGAAACGACTTTCTGTGGCACTGCAGTCACTGCTTCAAGGTGCAGCCCAACATTTTTGCATTGAATAAAAAAGGCCCATTTAGCAATTTAATGAAGTTTTTCATTTCCCTATTCTGTAATCTGACACCTACAGCCACGTCAAACAAGAGCAACTGCAGCACAGCGTAAACATTCATCACTGACAGGAAGTCTTTTCACACATTTGCTTCCATGTTATGAGATAAATCTGCAGGTATCATTTATTACCAAAGTGATGGGAAGTCGTGGCATGGAATTGGACAAACCATATCAGCCTCTGAGCAGCTTCCAGTGGTATCCATCATTTAGAATCAATGGCATTTAATCATTTTTCTTTATCATCATTCAAGATTTGTGTACAAAGTAATTTCATTCACAATCTTCAATGACTCTCGCAACTTCACAGGTTGACAGATAGACTACTGTTTGATTGAATGCAGGGTTACTTGTGCTTCCTAGAGTCTCAAAAAGACGGATGGGAGCCAAAGCCTTCAGTTATCAAGCTCCTCTTCTGTGGAACCAGCTTCCAGTTATATTATAATACTATTACTATTACCGATACCCTTCCTGCTTTTATTATCATTATTAATCTACTATATCCACTGCTGCTGTTATTATTAGTAGTCATCATTTGTTCCATCATTATTATGCCTAATACTCATTATATGAATAATTTCTGTCATATGCATTCAATGTGTTGTAACTCTGTTATGTTGTTCATTCTGTACACATGACATCTATCACACTTCTGTCCATCCTGATAGAGGGATCCTCCTCTGTTGCTCTCTCTAAGGTTTCTTCCTTTACTTTCTCACTTGAATAAGAAACCGTATACTCTGATGCAGCAGAGGTGCCTCTCCATGATCTTTTCACCAAGGCAGTTGAAATTTTAAAACTACAAAGGTGCGCTCAGTAGAGTGCAGATCTCTGCCAGGTCTGCCTACAACAATCACTGCTGTTTCTCATTGAATGAATACAACCCACAAATGAATAACCCCCCGTCTAGACCGCAAGTGTACCCGCATGTCACACAAAACAGATCCGCTCTCATTTTTAATCTGCAGATATCTAAACCAGCTCTGTGAAGGTGCTTGTCACAACTCCGTCTCACAGAAAAAAAACGTGGCTTGAAGCATATATTGAAGCTTCAATTCAAATTGTTACGAAAAATATGCGCGTAAACGTGAGCTGTGTGTGTACTGGTAGTTCCGTTAGCTGTTAGCCAATGCACACAGTCCAAAACAACAAAAATGAGCAAAGAGTTTTTCCCCACTGTATCTCACTTGCAGAACCTTACTGCTGTTCAAGAGTAGTGAGTGATGAGTCAGCAGTATAAAAGGTGTTCTGAGAAAGTGTGTGTCAGTGCATCCATGAAGGGTCCATGAGCATGCAGCCATAAATGAGCACCCAAAATATTATGCAGTTTGGTGCAGCAGCATGCGAAATAGGCTGTGGACAGAGATGCACACACACACACCCACGCACGCTCACCCATGCACAGCCGATCTCGTTAGGATCTCATTATCTCCTGGCGGAGACAATAAAGAGCACTTATGAGTGCGTTCCCCAAACACAGACTGAAACATTTTCAAGTTAGAGGTTGTCATGGAAAATTTTGGGCAATTCAAATTCCCTCATGAAATCTAACATGACTCAGCACTGTACAATGGGCTCTAACTTCTGGAAAATTAAAATTAAAATATTACTGAAATAATCAATTTTGCTTAGGACCCTGATTGTGCATAAACCAATTTCAGAGCATCTGCCATAAAAATCACAGACATGTTCATCTATCTGGTTTAATTCAAAACTCATTCAGGGAGGTGCTCGACTTATTCTTTATATGAGAATATAGTCATCCATAGTCATTTTTTATCATATTGGAGCACCCCACCCTCATGTCCGCCCACGCTCAACAGTGAAATTATAAACAAATAGGGGCTGCAATGTCAACCACACAAGTAATGACATGAAGAGCAATGTTGCAGTTTTGTCTGGTCCCATACGCTGCACAGGATGCCTTTACCTGCGGATCCGGAGGAGAGGCGCGTCGCGATGGCGCGGTGAGGACTGTGCGGGCTTCCTGGACAGACCCGCACCACCTCCTCTTGACACTGCACACATATGACCTGGTTCTCCTGATTTTCCCCGACCTTGCTGCAGCCCACGTGCTCTCCCGTGGCCTGGATCTTCATACCCGCGCTGATCTGACGGACCAGTCGCATGTCCGCTCCTGCCTCGTGCTCCAGCATCCCCCTCACCAGCGGCGTTCACACTTAATATTACGCATGGCTTCGGCGTGTGAAGGCAACAACTTCTCACGCACCCACCTAAAGCATCCTTAAACTCCACCCACTGCACTTGAATCCAAGCTCTGTTTATTCCAAGGCTGCTGCCCGCACCAGCTCACGCTCTGCTCCACGATGTCAGCCTCCCTCGGCTCGTGCCGCGCTTGATGGTGCAGTCTTTACCTCTTTACGCACGACGGCAGGCGTGGCTGATTCACGTGGTTGATGGGGTCGCGATGTCAAGTTCCCGTGGGAAAATAAGTGGTACCAAGACAAAGAAGTTATAAAATAAGGTCTCTATTAAGTACCACTGAGTCCACTCTATGAGCCCCAAAAGGATTGTAACTGCGAAACCAATTTAATAAAAACGCTATGTCACTATAAATTCGCTGGAGGACCAAAGAGACAGATAAGTTTCACATAAGTAACCAATCACATTTCCTCTCCTTATTGTAACAAAGTTGTATGTTTGTAGAAACAAGAGACCAAAAAACAAAAGGTGCTTACAAAAATAAATTATTATATATATATATATATATATATATATATATATATATTTTTTTTTTTTTTTTTTTTTTTTACGATATTTTTTTTTTTACGATTTACAAACCCTCTGTGAAGGAGGAGCTTACTCAGTCAGTTAGCTAGTCAGCAAGGATGCAGGAAGTCAGTCAGAGTTGGTGGTGCTCGGAGAAACTCTCTATAATGACATACTGTTCTTTGAATGGGTCGTGTACTGGTTAGCACTCTGGACCTTATATCCAGTGATCCATGTTCACATCTTGGTGGGACCTTATTTTAAGCTTTAGTACGGGTTAAAGAATGCAACCTTTCCACCTTCTTCATGTTAAAGACAGTAACGTGTCATTTTTGGAAAATCTGCTCTCTTGTCAACCGTGCACGCTTAGTTTACACCCAAGACCGAGTTTCTAAAATACTCAATCTTACGTGTTAGCTACTTTTCTTGTCTGTGTGAATACAGCATTAGTACTACAGCCTGTGGTCACTTGGTCCTGAAACTATCCAGTAAGAAGTACTCAAATTACATTGTGGAGTTTTCCTGTAAATTTAGTTTGAAGACCACGACATGACCAACTTTGTATAAAAATTATATATTAATAAAAAATATAAATCCATCGTGTAAATGATTGTGTAATGTTTTCAGTGGATTCAATAGTGTTAAACTAAAGTCTAACTTCTTACCTTTCTACGTGAATTGTTTTAATTATTAACTTTAGCTTTGCTTTTACCAGAGTCGGCAAAAGGACGCTAACACCAGTGAATTAGCCGTGCGCTGCCCTTAATGAAATTTGGTAATTGTTTAGTTCTAACAATTACTCTGTTTTTTATATTTTGGAGCAACCTCCTCCGCCTCTATGGACCATCCTCTGGTTCATCTTTGGTTCATCTGTCTGCAGGCCTGGAGGAGTCATCACCATCGCTGTTTTCCAGCTACTTCCTGCTCTCCACCTGCTGAATGTAACTCTTATAATAAAAAATCAGTTTGCTGATGTCACTCCCTTTCTGACTTCTAAGTCCTGCAGCAGTCTTTCATTAGCTTTGATTTGCCAATTTGTCACAATTCTTTGCTGTCACAACATAATCTACAGATGTGCCCAACTAAGAGCTTTGCTTGACATTTGTTGTGGTTGTTGTTGCTCCTATGAAAAGCCTTTGTTTGGATTATTTCCCTTTTTTCCCAGGGGATGACATGGTGGCTTCCCATTCAAGAAGTCACAGTCAATAATATCACATTTAACCATGCTCCCTTTTGGGTCCATACTGGCATTCCCATATCTTCATACCACCATACATGAAAGGCACTCTGTCGTCACTGAGCAGTAAGCACTCAGTCTTTCTCGCCTTCTTCCATCATGTGAAGGCAAATAACAGTTTGACACAGGGATACAAAGCAATTGATCTGTTATCATCATGTTTCGGTTACATTAAAATCTTCTGTACGATCCAATGTGCATGTCCCTCAAAAAAGAAAATATATAAAAACACACATATATATACATGAATGAATAAAAAAAAAGCTCAAATTGAGTTAAGTAGTATAGGTACCAATTGAAAGTTTGAAAATGAAGCGATTGAACCCTGACTTTTGCCATCCAGGCACACTACTTCCTTAGCTACCAACTTGTCTTTAGGTTATAGACTGGGAATTTAAGGTTAACAGTATATTTAAGGTTGGGGTTAAGGTGTGGAAAGAGTCGATTGATCTGTAAACCGACGCAAGGAAATTCTACATTGTTTACACGTAGCCACTAAAAGGCAGGTTTTACCTGGGAGCTATTTAACAGGGCAAAATACTGTTACGTAAGCAGGGCCTCCGTTTTATAAACAGGCCCCCAAGGTTCCTGAATTCCCCACAGACACATAGTGAAATATCAGCAGAGATATCTGTTGTTACATATATTTTTTATCTCACAAAAATATTTTTTTTGGAGTGAATTAAAGCCTTAAAAGCCTTTCTACGAGATGGAAACCTTTTTTTTCAGTTAGGCGGATCATTGGGCAGCTACTATATTTTCGACAACACAGAGGGGTCCTTCGTTGAGCGCCAGTTTAGATTTTCTCCCTCGCTCCGAGTTGTGGTTGTGGAGACTACAAGAAATGTTTAAGTATTATGTTTTATAAACTATAACTTCTGACTTGTACATTACCAACCTCGCGCGTCATGATGATTATTGGAAAACAAACAACATATTGACAGGTTGGACGTAGTTGTAAACTCCGTCAAAGTGGCATTAGAGCTAGAAAAGGACACAAAGCTGTAACACCTGAGGTAAGTTCGCTGTCTCATTTTCTTTGAGGAAACAAACACATAGATGGAAAGTTACATTTTAAATAAAATATTTGATGAACGTTTAATTTTTGTTACTCGGTATTCACAACTCCAAATGTCCTTTATGACTCAGTACTACTGATATGGTAGACAGCCACTGAGTCGGTAGCTGTATACCATATTAAATGTTGACCTGTCTGACCGTTCAGTTCTACTTTAAAGCTGAGACTGTCTTGGAACAGTTCACTGGAACATTTAAAGTGCTAAAGTTATATTTCAAACTCTTGTTTTTTTTTAGAGAGAAAGCAGTCCAGTCATGCAGATGTCTGATTGTTTTCTCAGGTCTACAATTCATGTTATTATAAGAGCTGCCAAAGTAGCCTTTCCTTCACTTCACACAATCATAACTGTCTGCCTTCTTGTAGGTCACCAGCTCATCTGAAATCGGCACCACTACTAACATCTCTAAAATGGACAGTGAGTATCATGGGATTTAAAACACCTTAAAATAGAGCCTCTTAAACAGGTCGAAACATAAGTCAGCTCATGTCTTGTCTGTCCAGGTGAGGATGATCTGGACATGTTGACGGCGCTGCTGGCTGAGAGTGAGGGAGTCGGAGAAGAACGGGGCAGTCAGGAGCAGGCAGACGACTTGGACGGCCTGTTTGACGGCGACAATGATGAGGACGAGTACAAAGAGGGTGTCGAGGAGGAAGGGCCAAATGTGGGGACCGAGGATGCCTTGTCGGATCTCTTCGGGGAGGTGGATGACATTGAAAATGAAGAGAAAGAGGCTAAAAGAAAAGGAAGTGGCGGAGAAGCCTGCGAAAGCCTGGACAGGTCCAAGGAGGATTTACAAGGTGTGTGCCGCTGATCTGTCCCCTCTAATCTGCTTCTAGTTGCTGGACAACGTGTGTGTTCACAATCTTTAAATGTCTGCCTTCCTCAGACGAGCTGAGGCGCATGCAGGAGCAGATGCAGCGGTTGCAGCAGCAGCTGGAAGCAAGCCAGAAGGTTTCCCCCTCATCTTCCACTCCGGTCTTGACTGCAGGGAGCTCGGCTGGTCCCAAACCAATGACACCCAAACCGACACCCACTCGACAGCCGACCTCCAAACAGACCAAACCGGCTTCTACCACGCAGAAGGCCAAGACACAAGCAGGTAAACATTTTGTTGTTCGCCAGCCACAGCAGTAGACACATTCTGAAGTCCACTGGCCATGTTTTTACATATAATGTACAGAATAAATTGATAACGGCACAAACAACAAGAGTTGATTGTTTTTTTTCTTGTCTTCTGACAGCAGCAACATCTTCATCCACTCCAGTCAAAGGAGGAGGTCTGAAGCTCCAGGAGTCCGCTGACTTTTTTGATCAGCTGAACAATTCTGACTCCTTCAAACGCAAACCCAGGGTAGCTCACCATACCAAACCCAGCACATCGCCAGGTACAACTTATCCTTACGCAGTCCATTGATGAAAACCAGAGTTACTGAGTTTTGTCATTGAAAGTCGGGGTGTATTTGTGTTAAAGAAAATGCTACTTGTGCATGTATTTGAGTGTGTTTTCTTCACTGTTTCCTCATCAGAAGACAGAGGTCCACTGATGGAGATAAAGATTAGCAGCTCCTTCTTGCCAGTAGAGAGCACCAGCAAGGTTTGCAATCCTCTGCGTTCACCTCCACCTGCATCAACAGGAACGCCCAAACCTTCTTCTCTTCCTCCCATTCCTAAAGATGTGGGTGTTGAGAAATACTCAGGACTGCGGCTCAGGTGAGGACATTGAAGAAATGTTGGCTTTTTCAAATTTACCATCAGCAGCGGAGAGGCCGAATTTGTGTCTCATACACGCAAACAAATCCAGTGTTTCTGTCTGAATCTGGGCTCAATTTCCTTTCAGAAGACCGCGCGTTTCCTCATGCGAGATGGACCGCAAGATGGCCGACCGCCGTCTGATCCGTCTGTCGCAGCTGCCTGAGCGTTTGGCTCGGGAGAAGCTGGAGGACAGCGACTGGGTGACCTTCGCTGTGCTGGTCAAAAAGGTCACACCACAAAGCAACAGCAGTGTAGGTCTATGCTTAAACCTCCCACCCCTGATGTGTAGTTGGCTACAAATCGCACGCTTTTGTCTTCATTTCAAGAAAACTGTATGCTATCATACACAACAATAATACAGAATATTTTTGTTCTCGTGGAGCTCTGCTATTTTGCAATTTATTATAATTTTGTGAAGTAAGGATACGGCGACATCCCCAACAACCTCTGGTTCTGCTGAGTGAAGCCGATGCGGAAGTGTCTTCAAACTTGCATTCTCTCTAGTGACCAGCAGGGGGCGACTCCTCTGGTTGCTAAAATAAGTCTGACTGTAGAGAAGTCTATGATAAAATGACTCTACTTCTCTCTTGATTTATTACCTCAGTAAACATTGTAAACATGAGTTTATGGTCTCAATCTCTAGTTTCAAGTCTTCTTCAATACAGCGTGATGTTCATTTAGTACATTATGGTCCATTTAGAGTCAAACAGACCATAAAGCAGGGTATGCTTTAGGGCGGGGCTTATGCCATCTCTACGTCACTCTTCCGCATTCCAAATATGGAAACTTTCATTCACCAGTTGCAAAAAGTCAAGATGGCGACTAGAAAAACAATTGAATTTCTCGTTGCATAGCCTACGATGTTATGTTTTAGATTTTTTTTTAATGCTTTTTCTCAAAGATTTAATTTTGCAGGTACTAAAGCCCCATGAGTTGATCATTAAGGCTTTGTTTCATTCCATAGAGACGCGTCTCTGTTATAGACTTATAGCCAGTGCACTTCATTAACAGGCTCTGTGCTAAATTGTTTTTTGTTGATGATGCGTACATTTTAAATTTATAGTTTGTGGATTTTGTTTACGTGGGAAATGCCAGAATGTATATTAGATTACAGTTAAAACAGTTGAATAAAATGATTATAAATGATGGTGAGGTGTGTGTGAAGGTACATTTAAGAGCAGTGACACAAGCTCACATAAATGTACTGTAGAAATCGTTTAACACAAAATATTTAATGATTGTAATACATTCACTGTAAAATAATACTGTAAAATGCATGCGCCTACTCGGCCGCTGCTATTGCGATATTCACGCTTGTTGACTGAGCGCTTCCTCTCTGCAGGGCAAAACCTTCAGCATCTGGAAACTGAACGACCTCCATAACCTGGAAGTCTTTGTGTCTCTGCTGCTGTTCGGCGAAGTCCACAGAGAGCACTGGAAGACGGAGCCGGGCACCGTCATCGGAGTCCTAAACCCGACCCCCATGAAGCAGAAGGACGGGTATGACGGGGTGAGCTGTGTGTGTGTGTGTAATGTACGACCAGAAGAGAGGCCGGCGTTCTGGTGTCAGAAACCGGAGATTCCGGAAAGATAAAACCTCCTTTTGAACATGTGCAGGTGAGCCTGACGGTGGACAACCCCCAGAAGGTGCTGCTGATGGGTGAAGCTCAGGACTATGGCACCTGCACGGCCATGAAGAAGAACGGAGACCCCTGCTCTCAGCTCGTCAACATGGTGGGTCCATTTTCCCCTGCAAAATGGATCAACCTTACGTTTAGATCCATACTCCCCACCAGGGGGCGGTGTTCCCACCATGTTTTACGGTCTCTGTGTGGCTGTTCCTTCACAGTTTGAGTGCCAGTTCTGCCAGTATCACGTCAAGGCCCAGTACAAGCAGATGAGCGCGAAGAGGGCCGAGCTGCAGTCGGCGTTTTCGGGCAAAGCTCCCAACAAGCTGAAGGGGAAGGGAGGCAACCTGAGAGATCGGCTGTGTCAGGACGGCTTCTACTACGGCGGCGTGTCCTCAGCCGCCTGCGCCTCGTCGCTGTGAGTGATGTCAAACGCTGCGAGCAGGCTAACTGCAACCTCCGTTGCCGGGAACACAGTGGGGAACTGGGTAGAATCTGAGCTGCCCGACATTTTTAGTAACGGGTCTGTGTGTTGCAGAACGGCGTCCAAACCGAACAAACCCGTCCAGAAGACTCTGGACAAGCTGTTTGTGAAAGGCTCTGCTCAGCTCGTCAATCAGGCCAAGAGGCTGGGTAAGCACTGATAGGCTCTTACACACACTTGTATGCGCCAACTTCAAGGCTGTCGGTTAACCTGATTTTGTCTGTTTTGTTTTTGTTTATTTTATTAGCCATGCAGTCTGGTGAAGTTGCAGGTTGTTCAAGTGAATTTAAGAGCCTGTTGTCAGCGCCAACACCCGGAGCTCTGCAGCTGAAGAAGCACTTAATACAGGGCAGCCAATCAGGTACCTGGAAACATCCCTGTGCCTTTTCCTGCTCTAGCTATGAATTAATGACATATTTATTTTCAAAAGGCAGGTCCATTAATATTGTGGTTTTTCTTTTAGGTTTTTATATCATTCAGTAGAAGCATTTCTAAAAACTTGACCTGACATAGGTTTCTGCGTGATGACGCTGCTACATATAAAGTTCATACACGTCCTTCTAGTCGGTCTTTTACATACAGCAACTGGTGGTCAGCGCGCTCCCAGTTTGGAGAGGCAGACAGAACAACACCAACGCTGAAGCTAAGCAACGTACTGCTGTGGACGCAACGTTAGCTTGGATTCTGAAGTCTCACAATAACACAAACAAACCAGCAACTCCTGTGTTCTGCGAGGTAATGTTACAGTTTTTTTGTCAATGGAGTCTGTGGCTTTAGATAACGTCTTAAGCTCCCCGTCAGAAAGGGCTGTCTGGAGGCCAGGTTAAGCGGTGAAAATATTCTAGATATAGCGTACACTTGAGCTTTTCTGCTGCTCGCCTACACAGCTGCTTACTTCGACGTCAGACTGCCCTTTCCTACAGGGAATTGAAGCCATCATCAAGACTCCATTGAATTCAACCTCTCAGAGCACGGGAGTAGACACACAACCCCATTTCAAAATATGTTGCTAATTTTTTCAAACAACCATTTCAGACAATCCCCAGTGATATTTTTTTTAACCCCCCCCCCCCCCCACACACACACACACACACACACCCTTTTATTAACCTGTTATACATCTTCCGTCTCCAAAGATGCAGCTTCAGCTCCACTTCAGTCCATCTCAGCCTCGGACCTGCTGAAGCTGCAGAAGCAGAGGCAGCGGGAGTTTCTGCAGAACCGGCGGCGGCGGGCTGACGAAATCCAGAAGAAGGTGCCACAGAGCTCGGCTGGGCCCAGACCCGGGGCGTCGTCCTCGCTGGTCCGGGATGGTCTGATGTCCCCGAAAGCAGCCTCCGAGGTCCCCAAGGCCCGCACCCCCACCCTGGGCCGAGGCTTCTCTGACGGCGAGGACATCCTCTTCTTTGAGAACAGCCCTCCACCACCGGCGCCCGCTCTCAGCCTATCAGCCGCCAAGCTGGCTGCTCTGAAGAGGCTGAAAGGCAAAGGGGCGGGGCTCGAAAAGGAAGACCCCAACGCTGTGAAGAGGAAGAGGAGTAACGACGGCGAGATCAGCGCCCGAGTGGAGAAGAATCTCACCTCACCCAATGGTACACAGTGAAGAGCCATCTTAGTTATTGTACTTGGGACCAGCTCACATAAAAAAATCTGAGAGCTCACCAATGAATGTGAAGAAATGTAATCTCTTGATTTGATTTGTAAAATGCAGAATTCTGCATTTCAATCGTATACAAAATGACTCATTTGTTGCTTGTTATAACTTGCCCTCTTACTTCCTGCGCAGGCGAATCGTCCGGTATTGAGGAAGAGGAACCGGCTCAGAAGAAGAAGCGAGAACAGCTCCTCTACATCCAGTCAGAGGCGTTTCAAAAGATCCTCAATGCCAAATCTCGCCACGACGCTGCACTACAGGCGGTACGACAAGTTGGAACTTAACCATGTGCATCCGTTAGGACTTCTTTTACTTTGCCCGTTTTGAATTTACAGCTGTTGCACGTAGACATGCTGCAGATCTGATCTATCTGCGTATTATCTACGAGTCTGAAGTAAAGACGTGTCCTTCTGAATCTCCTCTCTCTCTCTCAGGCGGAGTACCAAGTGCAGGAGCGCTACTTCGATCCGCTCGTGAAGAAGGAGCAGATGGAGGAGAAGATGAAGGGCATCAGGGAGATGAAGTGTCGTGCTGTTTCCTGTAAAAAGGTACCGAGTTGAATTTACACCTACTTGGTTCAGATATGTATAAAAACATAAACATTCATGAGATTTCTCTGTCACTCGGTCAGAAGCAGGGAAAGTCATTTTTTCCATCTTCCTTTCCCTCCAGTGTAGTTACACCTACTTCAAGCCGGCAGACCGTTGTGTGGAGGAGAATCATAACCTGCGGTGGCACGATGCCACCAAACGTTTCTTCAAGTGTCCCTGTGGACAGAGAGCCATCGCTCTGGACAGACTGCCGAACAAACACTGCAGGTTAATGTTCGCTTCCCGGAGCATTTGTCACGTCTCTCTCATAACCTTTCAATACCGTTTCAGTTTAATAACACGCACGTTCTAACTGATCTTTTACCATTTTAGTAACTGCGGTCTGTTTAAATGGGAGCGCGATGGGATGCTGAAGGTAATATGTCCCTCTGACTCACAGTTCACCTCTCACGTTGTGAAAGAAAGCAGAGCTGATGTTCCTCTCCACATTTGTTTTTATTGCAGGAGAAAAAGGGACCAAAGATTGCCGGAGAGCTCCTCCGGCCTCGAGGAGAGGAGCATGGCAAGTTCCTCAACAGCATGAAGTGACGGCACCGGCATTTTTACGTCTGTAATTTAAACGTCTCAGTAGCAATTTTGCATTTGTGTGAATTATGATTTTACAGTTTTTACAGTTGTGTCATTGATTATGGAGATTTGAATGTCTGTGATTTTTATTGAATACACTTTAAATAAGCTGATTAAAGCGATACGTTTCGTGTCTGTTTCTGAGAAGCTGAGCAGATCTGGAAAGTATGGACTTAACTAATATTTAATAGAATGAGTTATTCGTAACATCTGTTCTTTTCCTACTATGCTGAAGGGTCTGCTGTGAAAACGGCCCGTCCTTTTTAGATACAACCTCAAACGTAAAACCAACTTCAGCTTTGAGGAATGATAAGAAAATAGTTCCACTTAACGGTTTACTGTATAAGACGTTCAAACTTAATCAACAGATAATCCAAACTGAGTGACACCATACAGCAATGAGAGCGGACATTTCATTAAGGGTAGGTAACCTTCTACAACACTACCTTTATGCTTTATTTACCAAAAATCAAGGGAAGAAGTCCTGCCTTAAACATGTCAGATAAAGTCTAGCTTTACACCCGAGCTGCACTTGTTTCTCATAGGGACACAACCAGTCCCCTGCATCAGGACACAAACACACTCCATGTGTTATAGTGATGACTGCCGAGGCCAGGTGGCGCTCACACAAGTCTCGCAGACACAACCCGCATGGCCTCCAACAGGAAAGGTCTGAGCTGGGAATCACAGTTAAGAGATAAAGTCAGGCTTTGTGATGTGGTCAGTGAGTACGGAGTGACACGCCACGTTGTTTTCAGGGTTTTGTTTGCTGTCATTATCACTGCTAGGCCTTTTTTTCACTCTGCCACGATTGCGTCTCCCGTTTCCACTCTGGAATGTGGAATTGGATTCAGCCTGATGACTTCTGCAGCTCACCTCCTCTTTTATTCCACACTGCCTCCCTCCCTCTGAATACTCCAAATACCAGACAGTGCTAGAGTGAGTTAAGACACATCAGTGGTCTGGGAATCAGGAAACTCACCCTCATAAATTTGTCATTTTGACTTAAAGACAAAGTCAGTTTGTTTTTTGCTAAAATGAAGCTACAATCAATGTCTGTTGTACGAGGTTGATTTATTGCTGCTAATGCCACAGGCTGACATAAAAGGACATTGTGTAGCTTGTATGTACATGTAAAAACAAGCATGCAAAACATAGAGCCTCCATTTAATATAAAGTTGAGCTTATAATACCCAAACTGCACTTTTAATACATGTTACAGTTTGATGTGGAGACATAATGCACAATTTAGGGGTTTTATTTTATTTTAAAAGGAAAGCATTTGTAGAGAAAGGTAAGAAAAAGATCCGAACATAAGTTTAGCACTGTCTCAAAGTGTCAGGAGCCCCTGGGGTACAGGTGATGGCAGCGCTGGCTCCGGTGAGAGGGGCCTCCATGCGGCCGTACGCTCAGTGGAACCAGTAGTAGCGAGGTTGGTGGCCGTCGTAGTGATACTCTCGCAGCTGCTCGTTCGTCTCCCTCGATCTCTCGTTTTGCTCTGCGGATAAAGAATTTGTAATTAAAGTGGCTATAATTAAAAAAAACAATGTAAATACCAAAGGATCACATGACTACTGGTATGTGACAGGGGTCAGTCGTAGGGGGAATTGTCACCGGACCTTGCACTTCACCTCTGCTTTACAGAGCTTTATAAAATAATTTATAATTCGATTTTCCAGCCAACAACGCCACATACACACATTATCACTGAGAACGCAAACATCCAGGTAGGAGTTATCAGGGATTTCTGTTCCCTATGATATCTCCCACTGTTTGAAACCAACTACAAGGGTGCCAACAAACCGCTGACAAAACGGCAGCAAAGCCACCATCGCTGGCAGTTACACCTACATCCAAATTTGAACACTAATTCAATGAATTCAGCTCATGAATGCAGTTTGTTTGAGTCTGGTTTCCACTTGTTAATGACTCGCTACAGATACAAAGACAATGTGTAAATGCAGCATAAAGAGACAACAATGTGATGTAAAAAAACAGAGTTTTGACATTTATGGACCAATAAGCCGGTTTCTACGGAACCTGAGTGTGTTCTGTGGCCTGGTGGAGATCGTTTTGTCCTCCTAAACCACCCAAAACACTGTGTACCTTAAAACCCCACTCTCATCTCTATGTGTTTGCAGTTCTTAGTTTAGAAACCGTCACTGCTACTATATCACACCAGACAGACAGCCGCAAGAACAATTGTCAGCTCGGGGTCGACCACAAATGGACGCTTTCATTTTGGTCTCTCCGCTGTGGTCCAGACTCGTGGGTGCCGAGAGGTTTTTGTTCAAGATCCAAACTCGGCCTTCCCTCGATGTGTTCTCCCTATAGTGAGTCCTCTCGTGACGACTGCCATTCAAGTAAAACAAAGTGATTCTGAGATGCAAATAATGGTAAATGTGTTATTCGTCGTCTGTGGAAGGGGTGAAAATGAGGATTTGACGGAGGGTTATTTTGTCTCTATTCATTTCTGCTTTTGTTTGACATTCAAGCATTACGATGGCTGTACTCTCAATTTGAGGAAAGACGGGGTTGAGAGGAATCCAGGGTCTCACCGTCGCGCTCCTCCTTGATGTAGTTGTCGTACTCGTCCCTTTGCTCCTCGTTGTACTCCCTCCTCCGCTCGTTCAAGGAAAGCCTTACCCTCTGCTCGGCTGTGGGGAGAAGAAAGGAAAGGATACTGATGGATGAAGGTCAGTATGGCACTTTAGTCCAGATTGATATATACATCTCAGCAGCTTGACATTACATTCCGTACAAACATTCACGCTCCCAGAGGATGAGCCCTAATGGCCACCTTCCACTCGAGTCTCACCAGCAGCTCAGAGTTTTCACTTGTCCTGTGAAATATCTCAATTTCTCCAATAAGTATTGTAACATTTTGTACAGACATTTATGGTTCAGAGGTGGAAACCTAGTGACCACAGATGATCTACTGATATTTCCTCTAGTGCCACCATGAGGTTGACATTTATGGATTTGAGTAGAATCGCTCAACAACTCCTGGAAGCCAAAAAGTAAAAAGTGAAGCCAAAAGTGAAGTGCCTTAAACTTGCATTCTTTCTAATGATCAGCAGGTGGTTGCAAAAAAGAAGTCTGATTGTATGGAAGTCTATGATAAAATGACTCTACTTCTCTCTTGATTTATTCCCTCAGGGGGGGTTTGATTAATGGCGTTGCTTACTTGGATGAGAATTGAGACCGGACCTGAAATACATCCATGTTATATTTTCTGATTAGCATTAAGCCCGCTAATATTGAACATGGATGCTGATGTTATAGCATGAGACTCACTGTGATTAGAACTTGTATTATGTCCTTTTATCAGAATAAGAGATCACAAGCTAAAAGAAACTCATAGGAAGTTTGAAAAAAAAAAAAAAAAAACTGCACTGAAGTCACACTTGGTTATGCAATCATCCAACATCTGTTGGAAATATTGCATATATCCGATTTAAGGTTTTTTGATTCCTTTTAATAATGGAGCAATGCAGCAAGGGGGGGGGGGGGGGGGT